AAAATTAAAAAGTATGTAGACACTTTTATTCCTCACATAACTCTTGGATAATTCCTGACAGTTGATTGTTTACTGTAGATAATCTGACACATTTCAAACCAAACTATACACAGTAGTGAAACGAAGTTGGCTGTGCCTCTACCACAGAATAAATAAACAATACAGAAAAGAAACATAGGGTTACAGCCAAAACCCTAGTCGCTGTAACCCCACCTTATTGCCAAATTTAGTTTTCTTTCGCAGTGTAGTTACAATTAATAGTTTATGTTGACATGCAAAGTGCCTCTATGGTTGAGCTGAAGGTCAGAGATTTCTATCCCATCTACTTCAAAGTGCCGTCCGTTACTTTGCTTTCTGTATTGTTCATCAATTATGTACTTCTGTCAAGTAAATCTTTATTAATTAGGAAGTACTGGGAAATTGTCAACAATGATGTTAAGTATAGAGAATAATGTGTTTGTGGTGGAGCAATATCTTCGTTAATACAGAATCGACACCATCGCTGATGAATACGAAAAAAAAAATGACGTCACACTAAATTCAAATGGCGGACAAAATTTTCTTATCTACCATCACGATATGGTTATCAAATGAAAGGGTTTGCTGAGAATACGAAAATAAAATGATGTCACTCTAAATTAAATATTGCGAATCCATAAAAGCTCGTTTTTAATAATGTTTTTACTATTAATTTATTATTATGTACAATTGACACACCATATATAGGGCATAACTTGTATTGTTAAAAAGCATTTTTACTAGCTTTCCAATGGTGTATGACAAGTAGGGGGTTGCTATTTTGTTTTTTGTTTATTTACTATTTTTTTGCATCTTTTGATATCATCCTTAGCAGAGCTGGTCATACGAGGATTCTAACCCTTTTTGAGGATTCAAGAGCGGTATATGAATACTGAAATAAAAAAAAAAAAGATTAATGATCCGGATTCGCCAAAGAAATCCTAAAGGATTCGTATTTGAATCATCAATATTAGGAACTAATCCTTTTGGAGACCAAACTACGCCGGCACGACGAGCTGAATCAAGATTTGACTTGTCGCGAAGTGTAAACTAAAACAGACTGAGACTGAAGACAGAATGTGAATGTGGAATTTGCGTTTGCTTCGTACATTATGGTTGAATACCAATGAGACATTTTTGAAAGTTACGGGACAAGGGATATATTTTAGTGGCGGGTATACAGTAATTAGATATGTCTACTAAACGGATATTAAGTAACCATATCCAACGGTTATGAAATACACCAGTTATTTATTTTAAATTAGTGACAAGTCTGTCAAACTAAATATTAAAATAAAGTTTGTCATAATGAGTTATTCTTGTTAGGAATCGATAAATAATGGCAATCATATTGACGGGGACTTTCGAATCGATGGGTTCTGGTCTCGAATCCTGTCGTTGACGTGATTTTTATATTATTATTATTATTATTATTATTTAATTATAAATGTATTCTAATGCATAGGTGTAGACTATTCAATGATGGGTTTTAATTAACAGTGCTGTTACTTAATAGGCTCTGGAAAACGGTAACAAAGCCTGGGATTAGAATGTGTGTTTAACGATGGGAGTCTCAATTTGATTACTTCAAGTTTACGAAATCGGGCATCAAAGCATATGTGTTGAGGTTTCCTAATTGGTTAGAGCGTGGACGGCCCGATTTCGAGAAACTTTACAAAATGTACAGTGCTTTTTTTGTTAGTATTGCTTTTAACTATTTAAAAAGAGTTAAATGTATTTGAATTACAAAATATTGCCCTAAAGTACTCGAATTATCTGCGGCATGCGCTAGTATCGCTTTTGCTTCCTCTATCTTGATTTTGCACTAAACGAATAGCCATTTTAAGTTTTTTTTTTTTTAAATTGTCACCATGGATATTGCATTAATCAAAAAATATCAACCAAACAAAAAAGGTGTTATTAAGTCGGACACTTGTTTAAACAACAAGTGGGAAAAAAACCTAATTAGTCAAAGTGGAGAGGTAAATTAAAAGATGATAAGAAGACATTTGATGACTGCATCATGCCAAAAAACTGCAGCATTGTTGAAACAAAATTGGTAATATTTTAAATTCTAGAAATCGCACAGAAAGAGATTACCACATCTCACTCAAACAATAAATAATCAGCCTTATCAAAGTGTGCCAAACCCCACTGTGTATCGAAAAAAGTATCAAAGGGCTGGTCGCCTATATAACGAACGTAATTGGTAAAACTGATCCACAATCATGACGGCAACAAAACAGCAACTTTTCTTAATATTACGGTATTGGTATAATGTTTGGTAATCACTTTTAACGTTTAAAGAACGTTTTTGTCAAAAATATACCTAACTATATTTAATTGCTAGTTAAAGGTCAGAAGTGTGATTATTTTGATAAAAATTTTAAGAGCTGTCATAATATAAGAGTTCTTGACAGAAGTTTGGACATCTGTCAAAAATTATTAATATCACGTACACAAATCGCACTTCCGATGTACAAGAAATAGTCAAGTATTATATTCCGCATATTATACACAGTTTGGTGAAGAATGTTTCAATTTACAAAAAAAATTGTAGTATTAAACTAAAAATATTTCTGCTTGTTAGCTACCATAAATAATTAACATAAAATGTCATAGCTTTAAAGTATTATTTGATTTTATTGCATTTTTTTAATATCATGCTTGGAATGACATTTGGGATACTTGGTATATTTAAGGTATAAAGCAGTTTAAAAATTGACATAATACATATTTAAACCGAAATAACAAATTAATCCAGATAGGTATTCCAAGATTCAACACAAATAACACTTTTTGAGCTACCTATTATAACCCTGACGAAAACTTACTTAAATGGTCCCACTCAACGCAATTAGACATTCCAAACAAAATAGCTGCCAGTGGGTTTTGACAAGTAATGATATGGAAACCTTGCGGGACTGGTGATTTGACGGTTCAATGATATAGATTGTTATATAGATTGATCATCCTTGTTTTTCAAAATAAACATAAGCTTGTGCCTTGAAGTAAAAATGTAGGTAATTATTTTTTTTTTAATGTATACAAAGACTGAAAATTGGATTTAAAACACATTTTTGCTAAACCGATTCTAATTAATGAGCACTTGCGAGGCAATATGGCCGCTCGCAAAACGACCCGCTCTGAGCGAGCAATCTATACAACTATATATGTAACATTGACCCTGTCAATGACAACAAGCTCACAGGGTTGCCATATCTAAACTGTCAGTTCCCACTTGTCAGTATTTTGACAGGTCGTTGGAATCCCTAATATAGGATTCATAGCACCGGCACACAAAATAAAAGTTGTTTGTACATCAGACACGACCTACCTACCGGCATGTATTTTGAGCCGCTGAATCCGAATTTCAAGTCATTTTGGGCCGTCCACCCTTCAATATCGAGTAAATTGTAAAAATAAGATAATTAGTAATAAAAAAAAATTATGAATCGAAACCAAGCATAATTCTTATGTATTTCGATCCGCTGAATACAAATCTGAAGTTTATTTAGACTATAAACCGTTCTAAATCATAGAAATTGTATAAAAACCTTGAAAAATGTTAAAAGTAGCAAAAAATTGCAATATCTCCAAAAACTGATGTATGAACTGAATGAGGCGAAAGATTTTCTCAGATTTTGAACTGTTTTTTGTTGGTATCAAACTTTTTTGTTCTCAAATGACCTCCGCAGTTGATTTTTTTTATCGCTTGATCGCTTGTGCCTGCGACCAGGGAACCTCCACGTGGTGACGGTGGGCAACAGGACGATCCCTGGGTTAACGGCTTGTATGCCGTCATGGCAGGTACAAGTGATAACGGTTTATAGTCTAAATAAACTTCAGATTTGTATTCAGCGGATCGAAATACATAAGAATTATGCTTGGTTTCGATCCATACATTTGTTTATTACTAATTATCTTATTTTTGCTATTTTTACAATTTACTCGATATTGAAGGGTGGACGGCCCAAACTGACTTGAAATTTGGATTCAGCGGGTCAAAATACATGCCGTAGGTAGGTCGTGTCTGATGTACAAACAACTTTTTTTTGTGTGCCGGTGTAGTTAAAAATTGAAAGTAACTGTGAAAAGATCTCCTATCGAATTAGTCAGTCAACTTAATAATTAGGCCAATTAGTAAAAAGTTATACAGGTTGTCGTACAACGTATTAACAATGGTTAATATTTAGGCAGTATATGAATTAAAATAAGTCTAAAAAGTTAGTTTTTTCCTCAAAATTATTTAAAGGTTATGCAACGTAACGTTCAACCATCAGATAAAGTATTTTTAAAAAGTTTACTGTGTAGTACTATCTAAAATATCGTACTGTAAATTTATTGGCAAAGAGAACAACAAGTCTGACATTGAAGAATGTGAAGCTGTAATGATGCTTGTCAAATGCCAACCGTCTTTATTGAACACAAATATTAACAGATGTCAAAATTTAGAATAATAGATATTTTATTGGAAATAATTTATTACTATGCAATGGCATAGAAGGTATAATTTTGAATTACATCAATTTTTCAATGAACCTGATATAACTAATAGAAATTAAATGATTAGGTTGAGCCGAGCGTTTATTGAGAATATGTGAAACTAAATCCCCGAAACTGAACCAGCGACCATAAATCCTGGTGAGCCAAAAAAGAAGGTGGATAGAGGAGTAATAGTGGATCTAAATAAATGTCAACGGATTCTGGAGCAAGTCGAAATTCAAGCAGGATTATCGGGACAAAAATTACGTAAAACTATAATTGGCAGCTGAAAGTAAATTAAAACATAAACCACGGCAAGATGTTAACATCGACATTAATGATATTTTGTTTTCGGACAATTTTAATATAAAAAGAGCTGCAAGACTCATCCCAATGAGGTAGAGAATTGTAAATTAGTGATTTGCAATAACAAAAACTATTACACTAAACCAACAATCGGTGGATAAATTGAGAACTCATTGCGCTATGGAACATGCAATATACCAAAAAAAAACAACCGAAAGAGGTATGAGGTTCAAAAGCGTCGTTGGGAGGAACTGGCAAAAATTCAAGACGCAAGTTGGACTAAACTAATAGTACAAAAAAAAATGTCTGATGAACGACCATAGCAGAAAAGTAGCAATAATAAGGATGCAGAAAATTGAAGATGTAGAAAATTGGAAAGTCTATGTAAAGCGAAGAAGCAATAGGTTATATTGTAATGATGATAGGTTCTTCCTCTACTCAAGACAAAAAAGTGCGTTATACGACAACATGCAATGAACTTATTTTTTTGTCTGTAAATTACCGTACAATTACCGCGACTCAATTTGTCTAACATATTCAATCACCAACAATTACTGTAAGTGTGCAAGGGAGATAATAACACTGGTCATTTAATCAGTTATATTGTCAATATTTTTTATTAAATGTGAACGATATAAAGTTTACGGCAATCATTGCTGACCATCATTGCACTACAGACAAATTGCCTCGCATCAACTGCATTTATAATAACATTTGCTTCAAGTAAAAAAAAAAACAACGAACATGTAGTTTCTTTTTAATATAGGTAAACATTGTGCTGTATATAAACAAAATTTTCGATCGTAAATATTTAACATTAAATCGTTTTATCCATTTATCACTAAAACACAGGACAAACAATTACAAATAGTACCTCACCAAACATACCAAATATGCGACGATGGCGTGCCGCTAATAAACCAGATAGTAATAATAATTGTACGCAGCCAGAAACATCTTCAGGTGTATGTACGTAGAGACTATAAAAAACATGTGCAATATGGCGTACCTCAGGTAGTCTTGAACGATGACTTTCGGCGGATGATATTTGTTGGGACTGAATTCGCTCGAAAACGAGCCGGTCCTGTAAAAGGTTTCTAACATAGTTTCTTTTTCCGCCCATCGGTCGAACAGCCATTTCGTCATGGCCTCGGGGTCTTGGGGTAATTCCTTGCAGGGGTAGATGCGGTAGAAGAGAGTAGTTTGGCAGGGTTCCCTATTGCCGAACGCGATGTGGCCGAGGTCGATCGGCCAGCCGTTTGGATAGGCAATAGTTATGTCGAGAATCCATTCGATTCGAGGTACGTCCCAAACGTCACCTGTTAAGAAAGTTACCTATATCAATCAATAAGAAAAACGATTTTTATTTTTATACTTTTAATGTTATTTGTGGCGACATATGCAAGCAAGCACACTTACTTATGTGCGTTAAGGATACCCAGACATTTTTGTGATTAGTATAAGAAAGGAAATGTAGGTGACATCATCGTCCTAACATATACAGCTACAAACTAGTTATGAGCTGCTTCTATCGCTTATTACACAAGGTGCATAATTTTTTGGTCTTTGTACTTATGGGGGCTTTCCGTCTTATGCAAATATTGACAGCTAAAGGTGACAAAATACCGTTGTTTTACGGTCATGGCAGTCGTTTGTCGTTAGTCGATGCTCAATAGTACAAAAAATATAGTTAATTTTTTAAAAGTTGGTTCATTCTAAAAAAAACGTGTTAAATATTACGTTATTGTATTTGTCAATCCAAATATTTTCTTCATGTTCTTCTCGGGGAGCATAAAAAATTATTGTTTTATTAAAACTTTACATCTAGTACATTTTTTTTTCTTCATTTAGCCAGTCCACTAGTGCTATAAAAATAGTGTATCAAGGCTCTAAGCGCTGGTCGCTTATAATAAACAACGTATAAATCCATGCCAGTGTAAGCCAAATTGCCACATCCAACTTAACATTAATTAGGTTTTGAAATTTATTGAAAATTATTACAACTAATTTAGTGACATTACATCTAATTTAGTTAAATTTGATATAACTAATGATTTAAAATGTTTTGGGTTCAGTTGCAATAAAATAGGTTGAATTATTTTAGTTTTGTTTTATTATATATAAATAATTTTATAAACTAAACAAGAATAATGAAATATGCATAGGACAACAGCGGGTAGTACACCCTCCTGTGTCCCTTAGAATGTCTTATTCATTACTGCACGATATTTGTTAGTAGCTATATCTCCTGTTATCTCTGGCTGCTTATAATTACAGAAACAAATATTTTGTACAGAAACTTAACCAAAATTTTTTAACCTATTTAGAGAGATGATTTAATAGTCTAAATAATCCCTATACATCTCAAATAAAACTATTGTGTGAGGATCATTTTGATGAGAATTAAAGGAAAATGATAAAAAATACTTTTGATTTGTTCATAAAGAAATTGTTAATTTTTGGGTACTATTCATGATTATATTTATCAAAATAAATACTAATCAAATATGGACACATAGAACGCAGTGTTCAAAAAATAATTTTATACGTAGGTCAACATGTTGATTTTGAATGGTTCATTGTCAAAAATATAAATCAGATGGTTTTTTTATTATTGAAATTCTGTGTACCTTTTATTATAATGAAATATAATATTTTTAAGAATTTAAAAATATCTATTAATTTTTAAATTTAAAATAAACCTAAATTTTTTAGATATTTAGATATTTAGACTTTTCTGCTTATTTTGGGTCATACTATTCACCATTTCATTTTGTGACACTTTTTTTTAACACCCTGTATATCATGAAAATTTAAAAAAAATTGGAGATTATCCACGATTAATCGAGAAATTTAATGTCAAAATCTCACAAAAATTGTACATTTTTAATCAAATCTTTTGACATATGTGTACAGGGTTGCCAACTTTTAAACTCGTAAATTATTATACTTTTATGATTTGTTTATTTAAATAAAAATAATAGAATTTTGTGATAAAATGCCAGAATCTGTATCTCCCCGACCCCTAACACAGATCAAAGAATATTATCTATTTATATCAGCTTATACAATTGTTTATAAAATTAAACAGTAATCTTTTGTAAGTTTTTTTAACTTATTGACATTTCACATGACATTTTTGAGTAATTTCTAGGAATACAATTTTACAAAATCATTTTATTTGGCTCATTCAACATAACCGTTCACTTTAAATTACATTCAGGGTGACTTATACGGCCTGGAATAATTGTAGTTCAAACAGTATAATCGATATCAAACATCGCTCCCCAATCTCTAATATAGATCAAACAATAAAATATGATCATATCAGCTTAAACAATATATATTACAAATGGGAATTTTTCAAAAAATTGGATTAATTAAAACAAATAAACAAGAACAAATTAAAAATAAACAAAGAACCATTAATATTTTTGTGATATGTGCAAAGATAAATTGTTTAATCTATCTTTGGCACTTTTTCCATATCTTTCCTTCCACATAAAAGTGTAACACATAAAAGTGTAACACATAAAAGTGTAACACATAAAAGTGTAACATCCCGAATATATCTATATTGCTACACCACTCTTTCCCTAGTTTCTCCCAACATTTCTGCTGTAAAAACTACCCTTAGTTGGCATGCCCAGCACCAAAACAATAAAATTGTATCTCTCACCGAAATTTTCATCTTCTCAAAAAATGAAGATTAAAATAATGAATAGTCAGTTCTACATTTTGGGCAATAAAAAACTGTATTCAAATTGTTTGCTCCTTTTTTTGTCTGGTTATACAAAGTCGTCTTCAAGATCTTCTCTTGCAATGATGATTTGACTTTATTAAATTAATATCTTGTTAAGTATTTCACCAAATCAGCATCCTTCTTGTTAATAATTTGATTAATACCATTAATACTATTCACTTCCATAATTTTAATTATTAAAAAACACTATTAATAATTTAAGACAAAATTGTGAATGACATTCACAATATTCTGAGAAAAATGTTCTAGAATAAAATAAATGAACTTCTAAATCTAAATTGTTAATACCTAAACTACATAGTTTTTAAATATTGCGGGTAACGGCAGAAATAGTAACAAGTAATAAATTAATCTTGGCAACCCCGCTCATTATCCAGGAGTGCGTTTAGAAACCTCGCACGGCGCGTCGACCACATACATTAGAATAGGGTTCAGACGCGCCGTGCATGGTTTCTAAACGCACTCCTGAAAAGAAATGTCAAATAATAAAATTTTCCAGTTATAGGTTAAATTTAATGAAAGACTCGTTTTCTTATTTTTAAAAAGTATTTAACTAAAATATATAATTGATGTATACTTTTTTCGTATTTCTAAACCTAAGGTGACTTAAAATCATACTTAATATCATTTAAATAAAAAAAAAAGTGAAATTGGTCAAACAGTGTGTCCCTCAAGTCAAACGTAACCACTGATTATTGCATTATAAACAATAAATAGAAATAATGCAAAAATGTCTAAATTAAAAATGTTTTGTTCAGGTACTTATTTTGAATTTCGGTTTTCTCTGACATTATAATTGTTTCTCACAGTAATAAAAAATGTAATCGAACCAGCAGTTACTTACTTTTCGCAGAATTAGAGTTATTATTTACGACAGCTTTTCTATTTAAAGTGTCCATGATAACTTGCATGGCTCCCACTCTTGGCAAGGTAACGTACTCGTATTTGGGATAATTCATTTTTTCCGCATACCTATGCGACACTGCCTTTCGTTTCCTCAAAAAACCACCTTCGGGAAACAACACCAGCCATTTCCTGCCTAAGGGTATATAGACGTCTAACAAATGTTGTGCAAATTCTTGTAAAGATTTGTCTCGGGTTGCTTTACCCTGTCAATTAAAAAAAAAAAGATTTAAAATAACCTTACAGGAAAATTTTTAAATATAGGCGTAAACGTTCTAATTCTGCTGACATTTATAAATATTAAAAGTTACAGTTTAAGCCCTCTTTCACACGAAGATACAGTATGCCAAATAAGCGTATCCGAGATACAGAATCGCGATCAAAAACTTGGGCTGCTGTATCGAATTCACGCATTTCTTTAATCAGTACTAAAATAGTCGCAGTGCCGTGCATAGATTTTTGAATTATGGATCTAGAAGAGTGTATTATACTGTGGTATATGTGTCAATTTTAACATTTACAAAAAGTCATGTGATTGACCATTTGCATGTCATTCATTATCATTTTTGAAGCAACAAATGATGGCAAAGTAAAAATTTATCTACACCACAGTTTATAGCTAAAGAATCAGTTCGCTCACTCTTAGTCGGCACTTTTGATCTCAATGTTCCAGTTTTTACACTGCGCAACTCGGATTTGTATCCCTGGCACATACAGAATCAATTCATAACCAGTACAATATATGACAACCGCCTATATTCAAACAGCGTTCTTCTGCGCATCCTGAATTTGTATCCCTGGAGTGGATATTATTTTGGAACATCCAATTGGTCCGAGTGAGCGAACTGATTCTTTTAAGCTATAAACTGTGTCTACACCATTTAGAAAAGAAAAATCCCATATGACGCGCACTTTATGTGTGACATTGTATATTAAGAAAAAGTAATGTGTGTCTTGGATCCCATGAACAGGGATTAGGCTACACCAAACTAATAAATTTTTCGGTTTCTAAAACTATATTCTCCATCACTACTTTATAGCTCTTAGTAATAACATTAATACGAATATTGATATTTATTTTAAACAATTTTTTTCGATTTTCCTGAGTGAAAAATCAAGTCACTACTTTTTACTTAACATAAAATCTGATCGTAAGGAAATACTTTTTTATTTTGTATAAACAACATAACAAAGTAACGAAATTTGATCAAATTTGCGGACAAATAAATATTCGTACAAACTTGAATTTTATAGCTTAAATCGAACTTTAATACGAGGTAACATCACCTTTTGCGGTAATAACGGCTTGAATGCGTCTTGGAATGGAATCTACTAAAGTTTTACAATATTCGGGGGTGAAAGAGTTCCAAATTTGTGAAATTTTTCCTTTAATGCGGAAACGGTACGCTGAGGATCGTTACGCAAAGACTTCTTTATCTGATGCCATAATGTTTCAATGACATTCAAGTCGGGACTACTCAAAGGCCACAATAAAACTTTTATATTATGGTCACCCAACCACTTTTCGTTGTTTTCGCCGTATGGCATGGTGCACCGTCTTGTTGAAAGATAAAACATTGTTCTGTTGTTGGAATTAAGCTTCTTGATAAAATTTGTTGATGCTTTTCTGCATTTACAGTACCATCAATGAACTTATATTTGCCAACACCTTTACTCATACATCCCCATATCATAACCCCCTTGGGAAATTTTACAGTACGCTTTAAGCAGTCTTTATGAAAAGCTTCGGATTTTGTACGAATTACCCTTGTTCGAAAATCCCCAATGCATATATCAAATTTCGATTCATCGCTGAAGATGACATTATTCCACATTTCCGTTGTCCAGGATATTTTGGATTTTGCCCAATCCAAACGTTTTTTTAATTGAATAGCTGTCAGTAATGGCTTTTCCTTCGCCTATAAGGAATGTGTGTAACAGAACATTATTAATTTTTGTGTATTAAAACGAAAAATTACAAACTTACTTTATAAAAACTGTACTGTAACCAGACTTATGCAACCATTGTTTACAACATTCCCTAGAGACATTTAATTTTGCCTCATGATTCCATTGGGCTTGTATTTGTCGTAGAGTAGCCCTTCTGTTGGTTTTTTTTTCAAATCTTTACCAGAACACGGCGTTCTTTTTCTGTGACAATACGCGGTCGGCCTGGACTTTTACCACGAACGTCAACACTAGTAATATATCCGATCGTTGATTTTGCAATATTTAAATCATTCGAAATTTTTTTGCATTGATTTACCTCTGTGGTACTGAGAAATTATAATTTCTCGTAGTTTTTTGTTTGTCGCAACTCCACGCGCCATTTTCTTAAAAATTTATATCAAAATTAGTCGTTCCAAACTGAATGGCTACCAGTAGGTTTTGACAGGTTATGGATATGGCAAAATTATGGCAACTCTGTAGGCCTGGTGATTTGACAAGGTCAATGAAATAGATAGTTACATAGATTGAACATCCATATTTTTCAGAATAAACATAAGTTTATGCATTGAAGTAAAAATATAAGCAAATGTCCAAAGGCTAAAAATTGGTTTTAAAACACATTTTTGCTAAACCGATTCAAATTAATAAATATTTACCAGACAATATGACCACTCGCAAACGACCAGCTATGAGCAATCTATTTAACAATATATGTATCATTGACCCTGTTAATGACAACGAGGTTGCCATATCTAAACTGTCAGTCCCCACTGGTAGCCATTTGGACAGGTCGTTGGAATGCCTAATATGATGGATAAACCTTTAATTGACAACTATTTACCAAAGCACACTAGATTTATCAGTAAATGCATGCATATTACTGATTTCAACGCCAATAAAGTTTAGTGCCCGAATATTTATTTGTCAGCAAATTTGATCAAATTTCGTAACTGTGTTATGTAGTTTATACAAAATAAAAAAGTATTTCCTTACGATCAGATTTTATGTTAAGTAAAAAGTATGTGACTTTACCTTTCACTCAGGAAAATCGAAAAAAAAAATGTTTAAAATAAACCCAGACAACTCACCAAATCCCAGAGATATCCACAGAATATCTTTTGTGGATATCCAATATATCCACAGGATATCAGAAATATCCCGTGGATCTAAATGTACGTCTATATCCAGAATATAGAAGATATCCTATGGATATCCAGCAAAATATCTAATGGGTATCTTCCAGACAATACAAGAAATCCCAGAGATATTCACAGAATATATTTTGTGGATATCCAATGTCCGCCTATATCCCAGGATATAGAAGATATTCGGATATTCAGCAAAATATTTTATGGGTATCTTTAGTAGACGTTCGTAAGTAACCAATGATTATTGAATAACGTCGAAAGAAAATAGCAGAGATAAAAAATATTTTCAACACTCTGCCTTTGATTTTGCCTCATTTTTGAAAAATCGGGGATACTAAAACACCGGTAACCAAATAACCCTTTTATTCACGTGTCACTCATTACAATTTGCCAAATGCGACTGCCTAAAATTCCTGCGCGCATCGGCCGTCGCATTCGTACATACACAAGATATCAAAACAATGCACTAGAGATGGGCGCGGTGTAACAATTGTAACTATTCATTTACCATACATTACACCACCTCCACCTTAATAGATCCTACTTAACTAAGACCGATTTATATACAAAAAAAAACATTAAAATCTTAATCGATCTGGTTCTCTCCTATTTCTAATAGGGCGCATAGATGAAGGAGAAAATTGCTCTTCTAATATCTCCGATTGTGTTAGAGTCTGCCAGTTATTGAGTACATTATCTGTACCTTTACAAATCTGCTCCGCATTAAAAAAAGTATTCTCATTCTCACCCTCTCTACTATGCTCCCCTGACAAATCTTTAGGATCACTTGAAAAAAATTGGCAACTGCTATCATCTAACTCTTCATGATTAAATAAATCTGACATAAGTTTATACTTAAGCTGGTTGCTATGTCTTTTCCAAGTGCGGTTACCATCTAGTGGTTTGACAATATAAACATTTTTTCCCAAAATTTTAACTACTTTTGCTTTGCACCAGGTGCTTTTCGCAGTTCTATAGTCTTTTGTTAACACTGTGTCACCTATCAAAAATTCAGCTTTCCTTTTTCCTCTATAATATTTTTTATTGCGCTTATTGGCTTCTAGTAAATTACCACGAACTGTTTCAATGCTATTTTGTATTGGACCTTGACTTCGCAGGTTCGAGGGTTTAATTAAATCTAATCGTGTCCTTAAAGGGCGTTTTAAAAATATTTTAGCTGGGCTTTCGCCAGCTGAACAATGGATTGTATTTCTGTAGGTTAGCAGAAATTTTGATAGAGACAGATTTACATTTTTCTGGTCCAATTCTTTATATAAGAAACGTTTGATTGTTTTTACACTGTTTTCTGCGGCCCCGTTACAATGGGGTGAATATGGTGGCGAAGTGATGTGTTTGATGCCATTAGCTTGGGTAAAATGCTGAAATTCTTGTGATTCGAGTTGAGCTCCATTATCCGAAACCAAAATTTCTGGTAACCCGTACCTAGCAAAGGTTTCCCTTAATTTACTTATAGTAGCTGATGATGTGATTGAGTTCATATGAAATACTTCAATCCATTTAGAAAAGGCATCAAGAATTATTAAAAAAAATTGATTTTTCTTTGGTTCAGCAAAGTCAATATGAATACGAGACCACACATCTTTGGGTACTGGCCAACCTTGCAGTGGGACCTTAGGGGGGTTTGACTGAACTTTTAGACATTGTTCGCAAGTTTTGCTCAAATGTTCAATGTCCTGGTTAAGGGACGGCCACCATACATAAGATCGTGCTAAAAGTTTCATTTTGACAATTCCGAAGTGTGCACTATGCAATTCGCTCAAAATAAGAGAATGGAGTTTACTTGGAATGACTACCCTTTGACCCCATATAATAACATCCTCATCAATAGTGAGTTCGAAACGTTTTAAAAAATATGGTTTAATTTCTGGACTGACATTATGAGGCCAGCCTTCTCTCAAATACTGGCAAATTTTAGACAAAATTGGATCTGATCGGGTTTCGTCCCGAACCTTTTTAACGTCAATAGGAATTTCAGAATTTTCACTTATATAGTGTAGGCCTATTTCGTCAATTTCGAGATCAGACATTTGGTTATCTTTCTCGGTATCATTTACTGGTAGTCTGCTTAAAAAATCAGCAATATTTTGCGTGGTATGCACATATTTAATGTCGAAGTCAAAACCACTTAGAAAAACTGCATAACGCTGCAGCCTGTTTGCAGCGAGAATAGGAATCCCGCGTTTTGGTCCAAAAATGGAGACTAAAGGTTTGTTATCTGTGATTAAGGTAAATTTGTTCCCGTATAAATACTGATAAAATCTTTTAATTCCCCATACGATAGCTGTCGCTTCTTTATCCAATGCCGAATATGACCTTTCAGCTTTCGTTAGTGTTCGACTAGCAAAACAGATAGGCCTATCTGTCCCATCTTCAAAAGTATGTGAAATAACGGCTCCTATTCCGTAATCAGAACTATCACATGTCAAAGTAACCCTCAAATTTGGATCGTAATGAACTAAAATTGATTTAGAAGACAAAATTAATTTTATTTTATTAAATGCTTCTCGACAACTATCGTCCCACTTCCAAGTGGTACTCTTCTGTAATAATTTATACAAAGGGTTGAGTACGTCAGGGATATTTGGGATAAATCTATTGTAGTAATTTATTGTGCCTAAGAATGACTTTAACTGAGTCACGTTCGTAGGTTCTGGAATATTTTCAATAGCTTTGATTTTCTCTGGGCACCGGTGAAGCCCATCTCTATCAATCACAAAACCCAAATAGGCCACTGATTCGACAAAAAAAACGCACTTATCTTTTCTTACCGTGAGCCCTACCGATTGAAGCGTCTCTAAAACCTTGCACAAGTTTGCGATGTGTTCGGTCCTGGTTTTTCCCGTCACCAGGATGTCATCTAGAAAAATTGCAATACCCGGCATTTCTGAGAAAATTTGTTCCATTATACGTTGGAATTGAGACGGTGCCGACGATATTCCGAAACATAAACGATTATACTGAAAAAGGCCCTTATGAGTGCTAATAACGGTAAACTTCCGCGAGGAGGGTTCTAACACGATCTGTTGATATGCCTGACTCAGGTCTATTTTCGAAAATTCTTGACCCCCTTGTAATTTAGCAAATAAATCGTCAATGCGAGGTAAGGGGTATTTATCGGCTAAAATATAAGGATTTATCGTGATTTTATAATCGCCGCATATACGCACAGTCCCATCTTTTTTTTGCACAGGAACTATTGCTGAGGCCCATTCGGAAAAATCTACTGGTGAAATTATTTTTTCTTTCTGTAATCGTTCGAGCTCCCCTTCTACTTTATCCCGCAAGCTAAAAGGCAAAGGCCGAGGTTTAACAAATTTTGGTACTGCGTCGGCGCGTACATAAAGCTTTAATTGTAAACGATTGAAAGTTCCGAGTTTTTCCGAAAAAACATTTGAGTAATTTTGGGTTATTTTGCCAACCCAGTCTTGGTTTATGTAATTTAATTCTTTAAACCCCAGATTATAATGTCTAATAAAATTTCTTCCTAGCAAGGATGGGCAGTCCCTAGACATGATATAAAATTCTAAATTATTGACTTTATCGTGGAATTTTACAGGTAGTTCAGTTTTTCCTAGAGGTTTAATCTTGTCACCTGAAAAGTTCACTAATGAAATTTTGGTTCCTGCTAAAGAATAATTTTTAAAATGTGTATTATAAATACTATATGGCAAGACTGAAACGGCTGACCCTGAATCCAACTCAAATTTAAACATTTTACCCTCAATATCAATATCTATGCAAATAGGTACGTCACTGTTAGACTTTAAACACAAAACAGGTGATTCGGTCTCTGATTCAATTTCATCAACTAAAAAATTAAGCTGTTTATGATTTGATTGTTTACATACCGCCTGCAGGTGACCCCTACCTCCACAAAGGTTGCAAATATATTCCTTATATGGGCATCTTGCCGCCACGTGATTTTTCCCACAACGGAAACACTTAAGCGCACTAGCACTAACACTCTCACTAGCACGTGCTGATTCTCTTCCTCCAATCCATTTTCCATCTCTTGATTGCCTCGAAAAAGCCCCGAAACTGGGAACTTGTTGTCTGGAAGATCCTTGAGAGGACGAGTTTGCGCGGTATTGGTGCCGAACTGAACCGGCACTATCAAACTGCTGTTGCCTCCCCCTGCTAATCTGGTGCACATCCAACTCCGAAATTCCTGGTTCCTTTTTAATGTAAACTTCCGGCACTTCTTTCAAGCCCGCTCTGGCTGCTTCCTCAATCTGAGCTACCTCTAACGCCTTCTTAAAAGTTGTGTCTTTCTTCAATCCAAACAAGGCGTTTCGTACTTTACCCTCGTTATATTTAGTGATAAAAATATCTCTGAGTATCGAGTCCAATTGTTGACTAAATTCACATGTGTTGGCTAGCTTCTTCAAGCGGACATTCCATTCCTGAACTGACTCGTTCTCTAGCTTTTGTGCAGAGTAGAATTTTGCTCGTTCTACCCAAACCACACACGTCTTGTCGTAATATTCATCTAGACACTTTACTAGATCTGCAAATGAACACGCTTCGGGTTCGTTTGGAACACATAAGTCTTTTAGGAGCTTGAAAGCCTCATCTTCTAGGCTGTATAACAATACTGCCCTTTTAACATTATTATCCGTGACTTGCGTTGCTATAAAATATTGCTGGAGCCTTTTGATGAACACTGTCCACTCACCCGTCCTCGGATTGAATGATAAATTTAAACCGATATTCGACGGAACGTCCGGCATTTTGTCTATGAAATCTCTTAAAAAAAAAACTTATCAAAAAGTTTATTATAGGTACCCGGGTACTGAATGTTTTTATGATTTAATTATTATCGCCCGCGAACCGATATAAATACAATTATTAATATTTTCTGTCGTCGCCACTGAAAAATCGGGGATACTAAAACACCGGTAACCAAATAACCCTTTTATTCACGTGTCACTCATTACAATTTGCCAAATGCGACTGCCTAAAATTCCTGCGCGCATCGGCCGTCGCATTCGTACATACACAAGATATCAAAACAATGCACTAGAGATGGGCGCGGTGTAACAATTGTAACTATTCATTTACCATACATTACAGTATCCATGTCTAAAAAGTTCATATATCGTAATAGTTATTCGGTATGCGGCAAACGCATTCGGTCTCCGCGGCTGAAGGTGCCGGGATACAGAAATTCCGTGTCGCGATATTGTATGCGTCGCCCGTATCGTGTGAAAAGGTCCATTTGAATGTATGTTCAGCCTGAATCTCGGATACGCGTATCTCGCATACAGTATCTTCGTGTGAAAGAGCTCTTACTCTCTAAAATATTTGTGACTACCAAAACACAAAACCAACTTTTTTTTTTTTGAAAAAACTGTAAAATGATTTTTTTAAGTTAAGTAAAAAACGATAAAAGGACTATTAGTATATGGTTATATAAGTGCGTGTAAACGAGACTTTATTACAAAAAATACACATATACAGGTTATCTAAAAAGGTGATTCAGTGAGTGTCGATATTTTACAATATACCCGGTATACCGTCGTGTACCCCAAACAAGTACAATATCACACCAACAAAAATATATGTTGGACAACTCATACAGGTGAAGTAAAAAGTTATATAAAGTTGACAGATTAAAAAATTGCCATTTTGTACCAAACGTACCTGTAGAGAGATAATTAAGTAAGATTTTAATATTTTAAAACAACAGTGTTAACAAATTTATTGTTATAAGCTAATTCATGCTTCTATTAGTAGTTATTTTTTAAGTATGGGAATTTACAGAAAAATGAAAACTATAGCTACTGGCAAAAAACTGGGAATAAAAAAATCAAAAAACATGAAGGGGGGGGGGGGGCGTGCTAGGTATAAAATATTTAATAAAATAAATAGTGAAATTAGAACAAAATTAGGATTAAAAATTAGTTTTAAAAATTAGAATGCATCAAGAATGAGAATGAAGACAATTTAATAGAATAAGTTTGAAATCAAAACTGACTGGTAATAATAAGATAGTTCCATAAAAGAAGTAATAATTGAAAGATTGATCACAATAGACAGGCAAAATTAGAGCGACATAAATAGTTTTGCATTTGTTAAATACTCACCGCCCTGATAAAAAAATCCTTATGTAATACACTAACGATTCCGAAATTTGTATATTTGAATACGCTGTCCATTATCCACATAATATTGGGCAATACATTATTCTTGGGATTGAAACACGAAAATAACAAAGGCACGTCCGCTGTCGATTGATGGTTCGCTATCACTAGCGTCCTTTCATCCAGACAATGTGTTATGTCGTCTCCTACTTCTACAACTAAAAAATAAAATGCTTTTCAAAATAATGTTAATTAAAATTGAGTTACACAAAGGAGTTTCAAAATTATTGCTGCCAACTATTATCAAATTAAACAAACTTTGGTTATCTTTCAAGTTCATTAATAAAAAATCGGTCGAGTTATCTAAGCAAGAGATCTTTTACAGGTAGTTCATAGCACAAATTACACATTCTATCCAATGGGATGGCACACAATTATGAAGAAAGCTTTACCATGTAGTTATAAATCCACAAATGGTTTTTCCAAAAAATAAAATATCAAGCCAGTTTTTCAACAATTTTTCTACACCAACAAACATTAGTTGTAAGGCACTGATTTAGAGTGTCGCAAAATTTCTACTTTACCGATTCCAAAAATGGTCAATTTTAAGAGAATATTTTTGTTTTGTTTTTTAACCGTGTATTGGTTACTTTAAATTAAACCGTGGAATAAATGTACGAGGGTAGATTCCTATGCTCCGCCCCTGACCTATTTCTAAGTCTTAGACAAGGAAAAGGAGAGGACGCGTAACAAGTTTATCAAGCACTCGTAGTATTCTGTGCCGATTATCGATTGGCCGCCATTATTTTGGTGCTAAGCATTTATTTTGGTGCTAAGCATTTATTTCGGCGACAGGCGACACCAAAGCTTTTTATTCGCGTTTATTTGTGATTTTTGAATTAAACGACATTTAATAATTAGTTTGTTACAATGGTTTATTGTGTTTCATATCAGTGTAAAAGTCGTAGCGACAAGAAATAATCAAATATTACGTTTCACGGGTAAATAATAAACATCAATCATTGATACTTAATATATTTTCTTATATTTTTCAGAGTAATAAATGTTACCCGATAATTTTGTTTATTTTATACTTTTCATTAATTTTTAAGCCAGTAATGTTATTAAAATTGCCAAAAAAGCAATTTTTTTCAGTGGAGTGTCGTATAATTCTAAATATAAATATTTTATCAAATACTATTTACTGATGAATCTACTTTCCATAATACCGGATTTGTGAAAAGACATAATTTTCATTATTATAGCACAGTAAATAAACATGAAATTCGAATTGTAGATCGACAAAACCGATGGTCATTAAACGTTTATGGTGGAATGATAGAAAAACAGTTGGTGTGGACCTATTTTTTGATGGTTATTTAAATGAAATATATTTTTTTAATTTTTGAAGTGAAGTAAGATTCCTGCAACCTTCTTTGGGACATTAGGCGAAAAATGTGGCTGCAGCTAGAAGGTGCTCCCGTCCACTTTTCGCATCTTGTGAAAACCAGCATGCTGGTGGTAATAACAGACAAAAACATTAAAAAGGTACACGATATCGTACTGCAAGACCGACGAGTACGCCTTAGTGACATTGTGGAAGATACTGGCTTATCATATGGAGGACAACATACTGAATTAAGAATTAGATATGAAGATGAGTGCAAGATGGATGCCCCGAATGTTAACTATTGATCAAAAAAGAAGTCGGGTTTTGACTTGTGAGCGACTTTTGGAAAGGTACCAAGCAAACAAAGATCACTTTCTTAGTCAATGTATTACCATCGACGAGATCAAAGCGCAAAGTTAAGAAAGGAAAACATCGCGGTTCTCCTCTTCCACGCAAATTCAAGTCGTGCCGTCTGCTGGAAAAGTTTTGCTGTCTGTGTTCTGGAATGCTCAAGGAATCATCGTGCTGACCTTTTGCAAAAGAGACAGAGCATTACAGGGAAATACGCACAATTGATTTCTAAATTGCGAGACGCTCTTAAAGAGAAACGCCGAGGAAAGTTAAGGAACGGTGTGCTGTTCAACCAGGATAATGCTCCCAGCCATACAAGACATCTTGTATTGTCAGAGGAGCGCCCACCATATTCGCGAGATCTCGCCCCCAGTGATTACAGGCTGTTCCTCAAATTAAAAGAAAACTTACATGGGAAAATTTTTTCCAGTAATGATGAACTGATGCAAGCTATAGAGACATGGCTTGCAGAGGTCGGACAAGCTTTTTTTTTTCAGAAGGCTGTTGAAATGTTATAGCACCAATGGACCAAGGGCATTAGTCTATAGAGAGACTATGTCGAAAATTCAAAATATAAAGCCACTGTAGTTTTACTGTAAGGGGGTCAGAGGAGCAGCGTAGGGATCCACCCTCGTATGTACTTTCCAGTGGATAAACATACCGTACGCCTCTAGTAAGAATAAGAGTGAGAAACTCTATTTTAAGTTGTCGAAGCTAAAGACAAATGAAAAAAAACTCTGCCAAATCTAACAACAGTACCAAAAATATTATAAGATGAATTAAAACACCCGTCTGTACATCAATAATGATACGAACATTTAATCATCAGATTAATCTTCTTATTTTGGGCAAAAGATTATCCAGTTACTCTGATACATTATTACTTAAACAAACACCTTGTACGGAAAATATCATCGGTACACCCAAATATAAATTAATAATGCTTATAAAGAATCTTCAACAATATCCGTATCCCACGAGATCTGGGTAAACAAGAAATTGAATGAAAATGGCCTTTCTTACTGACCGTTATGACATCTTAAGTATAAATTATTAGATCTTGACCAAATTTATATGGGACCATCCCTGAAGTACCCCCTTTCTAACAAAAAATCGGACGTGTTAAAGAATATCGCTGAACATAAATTAAAAAAATACATATATTCCTTTTTTTTAATCTGTTAAAAATGGCGATTTAGAATCGTACTTTGATTTATTTGAAGTCAATAATTTTATATTTGAAGATTGACGGAATGAAAAAGTTTTTAAATCATTTGAATAAAGCTTTTAAAAAAATGGCACTTATTCTCATCAAAACTAACTAGCTCGAGTTTGACACATAACGTAAAAGTGTAATGTTTATATCCAACTTAGTTAAAAAAAAAATAAAATAAAAGTGTAAGTGCGGACACTTTTAATATTTTCATAGCATCTTCTCCTTATTTTATGTCAATGCATTTAGCCAATTGATCATTAATTTGGTTACTTGGCATATATGTATTGTTGAACACTCTGTATATTTTCTGTGGTGAAGCATGTTAATAAAAAACTCCGCATTAATTTTAATTGATTGAGCGCGTCAAGAGTGTCGATAGTATCGATAGCCAAACAATGTTGCCAGATCTACATTTATTTTTCAATTCAAAATTATAAGCACATAGGCACATGTTGACTAGATGTTAAATATAATGCTTATATAAAATGTATTGTTATTTAATTTAGATAAGTGCCTATATGTCAATAGAATTTATTAATAGATACATTTCACTTTTATTTAATGTAGTATTTAAAATTTAAAAAACTGTATGCAACTAACATTTTGAAAATAATAATGCATACAGAGTTGGCCGCTGAAAACAAACCACCCGATATGTTACAGTAATTATTACATTAAAAAAAATTAAAAAGTAAAAAATATTAATTGATAGTAATTTATTTACTAACTTTCGACAAACCTTTAGAATCTTGGTTATTCCTAGAAATTATTTTAATATTTTCACATATTCTTCCCATATATTTTCTTGGTATTCCACGCTGAGTATTCCTAGGTATTCTCTACGTTAGGTATTCTTGTGTACATAATGACTCTCAGGTGATTGCATTTGGTACACTCGACGGATATATTGCAGTGATGCTGATCCATATTATAAATCCGGATATGTCTTATTTTTTTCGTAGAAATAGAAATAAGTAGCATTGGCACAAAAATATTTTATTAAAATGCAGCTTTGTTTTAAAAATAATGGAATTTAGAAATGGAAGGGGACTGAGGCTTAACATTATCACTATACATCAGGTCAATGTAAAGGACTGGTGTATTTTTTAATTAGGACAAGCATTAGGTTTTACATGATATTAATAGGATATTTTAAAGATGCTCCAAAAAAATTATTCTATTTTTTATATCTCAATATACAGTGCAACCTCTTTAATCCGAACACCTAATTGTCAGACCTTGTTCGGATTATCGATTTGTCGGATTAACGAATATACAATAAAACACCTCTTACACATTTTTAGACCTTTAGATCTATGTATGTATATTGATTTTTGTACATTTAAAAGCATTATCAAACTACATATGTATGTATGTATGTATGTATGTATGTAAGTATGTATGTATGTAAACGTAATGCAGGTCTTTTCCTGTAAGCGTTCGGATTACAGAGGCGGCGTTCGGATTACAGAGGCGGCGTTCGGACTATCGCGCATCACGATTTGCGTTCGGATTAGCGTGGGTTCGGATTATCGAGGTTGCACTGTATTTTTAAAAAGGAGTCACAACCGGGCATATCGATTATACGATGCTCTTTGACATTAGTATACCAAGAAAATAATATTAAAAAATAATATGATCTAACTCTGTACGAAATATACAGTATTCCAATTATTCATTATCTTTTCCTGCTTTGCTAAGAGTAATCGGTATAGACGAGCTGGTCGCTTACAACATGTAGAAGCAGAAGAAATTAGGAAGAGGCGGTGTCGTGGTGATGTTTGTTTATTACTTAAATATTGGTTAGTTTTTAAAATTGTTTCTATTTATAGAATTGTTTGGAAAAAAATGACTAACCAATAATTTTTGTGCTTCCAATCCAAGATATTAGAAAATGAATATTTGGAAATAATATTTTTTATATATGTTCATTGCCAACGAAAATACTAAAAAATTAAAATTTTAAACTTTTCCTCCAATTTTTCCATTACGGTTCATTTTAGATAAATCATGTATAAAACAAAACTTATAGAGATCGATATCGCAAACAACTTTTAGTTTAACAATTTTCTTAAAAATGAGAATTTTGCACATTTTGGGAAAATTGTCTATAGAACAAATTATAGAAAATATTATTAGAAGTAACTTTTATTTGAAGAATTTTCTTCTCCAAACGTAAATAACAGATATATTCCATAAAATATAAAAATTACCCCTATAAAGTACCACCCCCAGATGTTCGGACTCTGCCAAAAATCTAATAAGTTCACTGCAGACCAGAATAAACAGAATAAAGGTTAGGTTAAAAATTTGGTATTTTTCTCTTTATCCGTTTTTGAGTTTTGTTCAAAATTCGAAATTTACACATTTTCTTAAATATCTCGAATAATACGGTCCATTTTACAGAAATTATGTATTGAACAAGAATTATAGAAAATAATATAATATAACAACTTTTATTTGGACAATTTTTTTAAAAATTTATTTTTTTTACATTTTGTAAAAGTTACGGACCATTTTAGAAAAATTTTCTAAAAAACAAAAATTATAGAGAATACTGTCGCATTCAAAAATAAAAATTTATGATACAGGATTTTCTTTAAAAATTAATATTAATAAGGCAGAAAATTAATGTATCCTTTTGCCCTCACTGTATATTTGTAGACAACATAAATAAGTACATTCATTTTAACCGTCCAAAATAGTTATTTGTGTACTAAGGCTGTAAAGTTGATCTTTATGCCCGAATCATAATTTGCAACTTCTGGTTAGGATAAAAATTATCATACGGCCAAGGTGCACACAACATTTTTTAGGCGACTCTCACATTAAGCATCAAGTAGAGCCAATATTTTTGTACATTCTTGTTTCTGATAAGAGACGTAAATTTAATACAAGAATTATTTAATTTTTTTTTTGTTAGAGTATTGTTACTAGTCATTACTGACTAACCTAAATTTTAATCTAAAAATCTTACAAACTAATTACTTATCTAAGAAGTCCCCATTGGGCTGTCTTAATTGTTTCTACAGGAAAGCATCACAAGTTGGCGTGAAGATTTATTACACTGTTTTACACTAGCACTAACATTAACGTTCACTGCACTAGCTCAAATGGCTTCTTCCTTTTGAGCCTTCTGTTGAGTGTAGAGTTGTCCAGTAATTGCAGCGCTTCTTCGTTGACGTGGGAGTGGAGTCGACCCTCATGTTTCGCAGCAAACCTCTTTATTTCTTCTTCGATTATTGGCATCTTCAGGTCTCTATGAAGATAATCGTTTCGGTAGAACCAAGGTGCATCAACAATACATCTTAGGACTTTATTTTGGAAAACTTGAATCATGTTGATATTACTCTTGCTGGCACATCCCCATAGCTGTATGCCATAAATCCAGATTGGTTTTAGGATTTGTTTATAAATCAGCAGTTTGTTGTACATTGTCAATTTGGATTTTCTTCCTAGGAGCCAATACATTTTTTGAATTTAAGTTCAAGTTCTTTACTCTTTTTTTATGTGCTCTTTCCATTTAAGTTTTACATCTAGGTTCATCCCTAGGTATTTGGCCGAATCGTGATGCGGAATAACGTCTTTGTTTATTCTTATTTGTTTTTGTTCATTTGGTCGAAGAATAAAATCAACATGCACTGATTTAGTTTTATTTTCCATTTTTTTGTCCATCGATTAATTCTGTTGCAGGTTTCCTGAAGTTTTTCTGAGGAAAATTTTTATTGATCAAATAAAAATCCATCGTTAACTAATAAAATTTGCACAGAAGAATTACTAACGATAAGTATGATAAACCTCTGTTTATAAAAAGCGGTCATAAGTAAATGCTGCTAAAAAAAGTGACACTTTTAAAGTAAATGTAAATGCGGCCGTAAATTAAATACGCCCAAAAAAGTGACACTCTAGGAATGTTAATAAATCCGTAAAATATATTTTTTTTATGAGAGTCACCTAAAAAAAATTTATTAAAATTATTCGATATCATGGACAGCTTGTTAATTTATAATCTTGATAAATGCCTTAAAAATACCTATATGGGATTTTGAAAACAAAAATGGTATGTACAAACATTATTGCTTTAAGCGAATTCTACCACTCGTTAAAATATTTGCACTTATTTCTGTTATTTATATAATAACTATAATGTGTATATAATTTAGTGATTTGAACAATGAAGCTTATACCTCAATATCTCGAATGCAGGTCATTTTAAGAAAATTTTGTATAGAAAATAATATAGGAAGTAACTTTTATTTGAAGAATTTTCTTTTCCAAACATAAATAACAGATATATTCGATAAAATATAAAAACCACCTCCTATAAAGTATCCCCCAGATGTTTCGACTCTGCCCAAAATTTAATCAGTTCACCTCAGGACGGAAAAAAACTTAAGTTTAAAATTTAATATTTTTCACTTTATCAACAACAATTTTTATAAAAATTCGATTTTTTTAAATTTTGTAAAATTTCTCGAATACTGACCATTTTAAGAAAATTTTGTATAAAACAAAAATTATAGAGAATAATATTAGAAGTAACTTTTGTTTGAAGCGTTTTCTTCCCCAAAGGTAAATAACAGATATGTTTCATAAAATATAAAAATGGCCCCCTATAAAGTACCTCCCCAGATGTTCCGACTCTATCCAAAATCTAATCAGTTTACCGCAGGCTGGAATAAAGCTTAAATTAAAAATTTGGTGTTTTTCTTTGTATCCGTTCATGAGTTATAGTGTATGCAGACCCAGACGCAGACACACACACACACACACACACACACACACACACACACACACACACACACACACACACACACACACACACACACCCACGCACACGTACACGTACACGTACACGTACACGTACACGTACACGTACACGTACACGTACACGTACACGTACACGTACACGTACACGTACACGTACACGTACACGTACACGTACACGTACACGTACACGTACACGTACACGTACACGTACACGTACACGTACACGTACACGTACACGTACACGTACACGTACACGTACACGTACACGTACACGTACACGCACGCACACCACGCACGCACACCACGCACGCACGCACGCACACACACACACACACACACCCACGCACGCACGCACGCACGCACGCACGCACGCACACACACACGCACGCACGCACGCACACACACACGAACGCACGCATCTGTATACAGATAGGAAAGTAAAAATTATATTCTTAATGCTTGTAATTTTTACTTTTCTATCTGTATACAGATAAGGAAAGTATAGGAATCATGATTTTTTCGACCTCGAGTTTTCGATGGATTTTTACGTTTTGGGGTCCGCTGAATCCGTTTTGGGGTCCGCTGAATCCGTTTTGACTATTTTCGCGATGATGTATGTGCGTGCGCGTATATGTGCGTGCGCGTGTGTGTGCGTGCGCCTGTGTGTGCGCGTGTGTGTGTGCGCGCGTGTGTGTGTGTGTGCGCGCGTGTGTGTGTGTGCGCGCGTGTGTGTGTGTGCGTGTGTATCTGTGGTGTGTGTCTGTGGTGTGTGTCTGTGAAGTGTGTCTGTGGTGTGTGTCTGTGGTGTGTGTCTGTGAAGTGTGTCTGTGGTGTGTGTCTGTGGTGTGTGTCTGTGGTGTGTGTGTCTGTGGTGTGTGTGTCTGTGGTGTGTCTGTATTGTGTGTCTGTGGTGTGTCTGTATTGTGTGTCTGTGGTGTGTGTCTGTGGTGTGTGTGTGTCTGTGGTGTGTGTGTGTCTGTGGTGTGTGTGTCTGTGGTGTGTGTCTGTATCTGTATCCACGATAACTCATGAACGGATACAAAGAAAAACACCAAATTTTAAACATAAGCTTTATTCCGGCCTGAGGTGAACTGATTAGATTTTGAGCAGAGTCGAAACATCTGGGGGTACTTTATAGGAGGTCATTTTTATATTTTATGAAATATATGTTATTTACGTTTGGAGAAGAAAATTCTTTAAAAGGGTAGACCCCTTCTGTAACAATTCCTTTATATTTTAACGGTCTTTAAAAATATTTTCTTCTTTAATTCTGTCATTATTTAAACGGATCTTTAAAATACATTAGAGGACTATCTTAAAGAAATCTGTCAGAAGTAAATTAACGAATACGAAAATATTTTTAAAGGCCGCCAATATTTTAACGGCCGTTAAAATATAACGGAATTGTTACAGAATATACCCCAATAAAAGTTATTTATAATATTATTCTCTATAATTTTTGTTCTATACAAAATTTTCATAAAATGGTCCGTATTAGAGAAATTTTTCAAAATGTAAAAAAATTCTGATATTTAAGAAAATTGTTAAACTAAAAGATGTTTGCGATATCTATCTTTAAATTTTTGTTTTTTACATGATTTCTCTAAAATGGACCGTGATGGAAAAATTGAAGGAAAAATATAAAATTTTAATTTTTCAGCATTTTCTTTGGCAATGAGTGTATAAAGAAAAATGTTTCGAGTTAGATGTATGTGGAAAATGTATATATTAAGTTAACCTCTAAATATTTACAGAGGCGCTACAATAGGTTGTACAAAATAACCGAAAAAGCCTGTAATAACTAGATAGGAAAGTGTGTGGGACACATCAGATTTTTATATATTTTAAATTATAAGTTACAATAATTTGTGTTGAAATGTCACGAAATACATAATCAGACAATGAACTAGATTACCTTGATAATAATAGAAGTGTAGGTCATAAAAATATTCAATTGAGACGAAAAAGAATTTAACTCGCATGTAAAGCGAACAATAGTATTTTCTTTCCATTTATCTAAGTTAATATTGATTTAAAAGCATGTCGACGTCAGATTATAATTGCATGCAATGTTTCATACTATACCTATATTAAATTTTCTGTTTAGAACATTAAATGTTTTATGTTGCAGAAAATTCAAATATTTATTATACGTCGTTGATCTTAAATGTTTTTCTTTGAAGAGGTTGAAATAACCACCCACAATCAGATATCACTACGTTTTCAGATTAATTAATAACTTTTAATTGAGAAACAGTATAAGATTTTTTAAAACGTCAACTTATTCATATACAGCACATACTTACTGTCATATCCTGCAGAATAGCTCCACATGGAAACCATCGCCAGGAGCCAATGGAAAAAATATCCCTCTATTTTCCAATACACGTCTGGATTTACTTTTCTAAGTGGTAACAAGAGGATCATCCACATAACATACGTAGGTATACAGTATAAATTGTTTATAATAATAAAACACAGCCTTAGGAACCATTTTGGTATCTTATACCAATTACTGAAAGAAAATAAATTATTAATTTGATAATGATAATTAAGTTGATAAACAAATGTTTCGTCAACAACAGAAAGAATGGGTGTCTCGTAAATATATCGACAAACTTTTAGGGGTGGTAGGTGACATTAAAATAAACATTTTTTGCTTAATAAACGTCTGAAAACGATTAGTAGTGTTAAAACCGTTATTAATTTTTTTTGAGACAAAATATCCCGCCGTTTTAGAATGTATGCAATTAAAGTCGTAATAGTTTTGTAACATAACCAATATGAAATTTTATAGAGGTCGTTTGTTCAATATATTGACAATTTCAATTGTGCCAAGGTTTGTATGTACGAGTATTACTTCGTTAGAGACTTTTAAGGGCGCAACTGGTCTTGTCTTTTTTCTATTGAGGATTAAAGAATTTCTGTGATGCAAAGCTTCCATTTGAGAAATTACCACCTGAAAATTCTCCACTTGAGGATTTTGTCAGACACCGCAAGATAAATAATTTATATTTTAAAATTTATTTATTTCATCTTTTATATTCTTTCATTATAATTTTTCTGGCTGAAGGACTTTGATCTACGGGCAATTCGTTATTTTTTCAAGCATCAATCGTTTTTATTATATTATTATTTGCCTATATGCAATTATATACGAGTATGAATAAAGTTTTTCTCTCATGATTGAGCGATATTTTTTCATGACTACTTTTATATTACCTACCTACCTTGCATTAACTACCATTCACTATTTAATAAAAGTAAGAGATCATAAAAATATTAACATTACGTATTTATTTGATAACAAAAACTAGGCCAATTGTATGTGAAGACTGGCATTTTCTCACGTTCCAAATAATTTTTCATTTTATTTTCGTTTGTCCTTCTTTTCCCAATTAATCTTAATTTTGTTACAGTGGGCTAAATGACTAGGTTTCGTGGCCAAAAGTAGAATATTCGTTACTTTGGGTATAATTTTGAAATGTTAATTTATACATTTGCAGCCTTAATGGTCATGCGTATAAATGTGTAAAACTCAATTACATAAGTACAGGTATATTAGGCCAGTCAATAATGACATCCTATTTTGAAAATTTCACATTAATTACAAAACTTTTCAAACTTTGTAATAATAAACAGGGCTAGTTTAAATAACACTAAGTTTAAATTTGCAACCATTTCCAAGGTCGGGAACTAATTAATTTATAGCAAAATGGCGGTTTCGTTTATAATTTTGAGAAAAAAATTGCAAAAGTACTGCAAACTTGAAGCAATACTACCGTCAAAAGCCAAACCCCCGTAACTGTCATATTACAAATATTTCAGTTTATTTAACCATTTTGATAGTAAGGCTATACTCTGTTTTTAAACTAAGAGGAGCGATTTGAATTTAAGTTGGCAATTCTGTAGCCTTCTGATTGGTCAGATTACAGTCAGTTTCACACATTACTTTTTAGCATGAACATCAGCTATTAATTGATATTGTTGACAGTTATGACATTTTATAATTTGATATCTCATCCATTACTTAGTTTTTTACTTTATTTCGTAAATAATAGTTCTTCAGTAAGCAATTGTATTGAAAATCTACAATTATGGATCCTTCTACACTGAGTATTATTAAAGGTAGCAATTCCTGAAAAGCCTTACAAGAAAGGGAAGACACCTTATTATTTTACATGCTGATTCTGAAGGTTTTGTAAAAAATGCATTATTGGTTTTTGAAGGTAAAAAATGGGAGATTACCTGAAGAGATGAATTCTGAAGTATTTTAGAAAAAAATAATTTTATTACTGATTTTTTAAAACTTAAAATTGAGGAATTTCTAACCAAAATGATTAAAATGTAACTAAATATTCAAGCAAATTTTATTTATTAGTTATAGAATAAAACTATTTACAAATTTGTTATAACATTTAAAACACCATCTACTACTTTAGGGATAATCTTAATTTGGCACAATGAGTTAACATAACTTTCACAAAAAATATTTTAAAAATACTTAAAATTAATACATAGGTATGTATGAATAGTTCACTTTAAAAAATATATGTTGACATGTAGTGTTATGAAAATGTTAGTTCCAGTTTTCAAAACAAATTCTGACTCATAGGCCTGTAAACTTTTGAATGCCTTTATTTGCCCTCTAGCGCATTAACCATGGGTTAACACTAAATAAGCCATAATATCAATATTACTCATAGAAGAGATACCAGTTATTGTTTGATCCACTTTGTCATTAACTGATTAACTTTTACTTTTTATACCTATAACAAATATATCCTTAAAAATGTAAACAGATCTTTATATTTTATACTAACCTGGCTACATCTGGATATTCCATTAACAATTTTCTTAAATATTTAATATCCATTTTAAAAAGATCATAGTTATTATCAAAAAGTCGATTTCAAAAGCAAGAAAAAAGTATTTCTGACATCAATCAACAACCATATTGACTTTAATTTGACAGTGACATTTCGTTTTAGACACACATTTCAGATCACAATAATGTGAAATTTGCGACTGTTGTCTGGGACCAATTAAAAAATTACTTCTATGACATTTATTCGTTTCTTAACCGCTCATTGGCCGTTCACCGACTAAGGCCGATAAAGATAATTATTTCATAAATTTTGAACACGACTATATTTCGAAACTCGCTCTTAGTAACAAATCTAGTTACTTTTCCCTGTGTAAATGCGTCTTTTCAATTCGCTCCTCCTAGTTTAAAAACAGAGTATAGTATGGAGTAAAATACCGGTAATATATATTCTGTATCCTAAAAAGTCATCTTGATTCTACACCGTAACTAACATGTTTAGCAAACCCACGATCCAACACAAAAAATTAATTATCCAAAAATTACTAGTGTTTTGCTCATGAAGGCAGAACATATATTGTATTATTTTCAACATTATATCAGATTTGCAAACTTTTTCAAAGTCCTTAACATGATTTTTTTTGTAAAATAGCGTTTATGTATACATATATCATAGATAAAAAATTGCAAAACGGTTGCAAACCGATGACATAACTCATACAAGTTTTTGGAACAGCTCAATTTGCAACCTTTTATTATGCACGGAAATGATTTTTTCTACACCCACATGGATATTACCTTATCTACGCAGAGTTTACAAAACGAAAAAGTATGCTATTGTCTTTAACTGAGCGAATATATTTCATATCCATTCTAGGTAGTGAGATTACTGCAAAAAAATTAAATCCACCAATCACCGTTCATTTGATCAACCGACTGCTATTATTTTTAAAATTTTAAATAAGTGACAATTCTGTCAAACTAATTGTCAGTATATTTTTTAGTTATTGAGATTAAACATACATTAAAATGGGTTATTCTTGTGTAGAATCGATAAATAATAGCATTTCTGTTTTTATTTCGTCTAAATTAAAAATAATTTAATTTAAATAAAACTATATGAAGTCAATTTAATTACGAGTATTAAAGCAACAAAAATAGAAGATTAGGTGGTTAGCGTCCTTGCCTTCCACACGTGAGAATCGAGTTCGATTCTCGGATGGGGAAAAATTAAATGAACTTTTTTTTTTTCGTTTATTTTATTTTAAAAATGATTAAGTCATAAATTATTTATAATTAGTTATTTTGTCTTAATGACCTAAAATATTTTTATTTGTAAATTTTCGTTAGTGGGTCGTAGAAAACATACTGTTCAACTCGAGTGGATTGTTCACATCGCACTCAGACGATTGAGCACTCCGCCTACGGCGTCGTGCTCAAATGGCGTCTTCGTGCGATATGGCCATCATATCCACTCTTGTTGCACAAACTACTATTTTTTTTAATAGCAAAATAATTGTTTATTTTAATCTAATTTAGTCAAAAAAAAAAAATCAAAAGTTTTGAAAATGGGTTGCAAATGTTATTATTATTTTTCTTAATAATCTGGTAAATTTGCAACCTCGGACAAGGTCCGAAACCTTGAAAAGTTAAGAAAAATCAACAATTTGCACTTTTTGCGGTCGCAAAAAAATTATACAGAACAATTCAAATACCTTCCTATAAGTAAATGCAAATTTGCTACGCTCCAATATTAACGCAAATGATTGTAAATTGTCTATGATCAATTTTGCATTGCGAAATTAATAGAAAAGTGTCTAGGACAACAAAAAAATCTATTCATAAGCAATATATAATTTGCAACCTTATACTTATCAAGCAAAACATTTAAATAATTTCTTGTTTTCGTTTTTATATTAAATAATTGGAAAAACCGTATATACGAGTACCTAGGAGAGAAAACAATCAATATCGTAAATCGAGTCGAGAATAAGAAATTAACCCAATGATAAATAGTGTTTTTGACCGAAAAAAATGAATATACTAAATGTCATCAAAATTGCATTATTTTTGGAAATAGGAAAAAATGTAAACGAAAATTCGAACGAATTTTTGCATTTTTATCGAAAATTATCACGTGTTAAAAAGCGACTTCCACAAAAGCTGTAGATTTTTGCTTGATCTACAACTTTTGCAATATAAATTTTTGTTTTTGACGGTAATTTTGGCCGGAAATCGCGATATTATTTTTCACACCTTTTCAACCCCCTAAAGCTTTACTTCAACAGGGTTGCATGACAATTCCCGAACCATTCCGTTGCAAGAAAACAAAGCTCTCTCATAATTTAAATCATGTTTTGTTTTGCACATTTATTTCATCAAAACGGCAGTTTTATAGTACCTTAATTTGAATATTATTTCCTTTCAATTTCCTTTTTCAACTTTGTGAAAATCGAAAAATATTTCGATTTTGTTTGAAGTGGAACCAACTGTCTCAAAGTTTCAAATGATGCATTTCTTCGATAAAATATAGTTATTCTACGATCACTATCCAAAATTCAACGGCAAAGTTGACGTTTTCCGCGAACTGACATTAAGCCTTGGTTTCTTTGAACACTCCGTGGCGGTGAGCGGACAGTCCGTCGACCGCTGAGGACAGCAATTTTCGCCCGAGGTGGTTTGTTAAAAAATATAGAAAATGATACTTTCTCTATGTCTGTACGTGCTGTTTATGTATTATGAATGTAAACGAAAGGTACTAAAATGGATGCAAATAAATTGTTTGCGTTGTTATTATTGTTGGAAGAGGAAGAACAAGAGGAACTGGCAATTGCAACCGTCAAAGTTTCCAATAAGCCAGTGGATGAGTTGTTTTTGTGTCGCGATACAGAAGGTGCCTTTAATATAACTGTGCAGCGGAGGCTTTTTGGAAATGAAATCAAATTTAGGAAGTATTTTAGACTTTCTACAGATCTTTTTGAATTCGTGTTGAGTTTTATAAAGGACATAATTTCCAAGAAACCTAAAAATAAAGTCATGATGTCATCTGTATGTGTGAATTTGTCACTCATTGTTTTAAAATTAATAACAATATAGTCTCCGCACACGCCGACGATTCCGCTGATATCAAACTCAACAGATATCAACCGACTCTTCGCGACAAATCAGCGGCATGCCGCCGTCCTTCTCAGCTAAGCGGATTCAAGAAAACCATTCCCATTTAAATACTCTGGTTGGATAAAATCGTCAAAACGCGACGGTTGACGGACTGTCCGCTCACCGCGACGAAGTGTTCAAAGAAACCAAGGCTTTAAGTGACAGCTTTGTCGATCGCCGAGCGGGAAACTTGACAGCTTTGTCACAAGCCTAATTTAAATTAGATAATATAATATTTCTTTTTAATAAATGATTTTGAAGTTATTTGTACCTAGTTTGATATTTTTTCTTTTATTATCAAAGTTAACATTGACTTTGAATATCAACTCCTTTTTTCATGAATAACGTAGATATAGGCAACACATTATACACTACTTATGACAAATGTTCAGTTTTTATATCTATTTCGTAAATAATTAATGTGATTGTATAAAAATCTTGTGTGCAGGGAAAAGTTAGTTAAGCGTCACACGGCAACTTTTTGTCACAAGCGGCATAGTATCACTTTTCTCTTTTAATACACAAATAGGGTAAGCGCACCAGTGAAGAAACTGAACCAGTAAAGAAACAAAAATCTACATTTTTAAATATATTAAGGAATGGGTACGTTTTAAATTTCCCGCGAGTTTGATGCCATGTAAGTTGGCATTCCTACTTTTAGTGATATTTGATCTTGATTCTAAAGTTTATTGTTGTATTAGTCGTGTGTAAAACGTTGCAGAAGAAGGAGCTATTTTCGCGACTCCATTTTGGATGCGCAAAATCTAAGGTAATCATAGGTATTGCCTACTTTAAACATTTGTATTTCTGATATAAGTCAACATTAAGTTATCAAGAATGCTTAAGCTGATTAAGTTTGATTATAGTTTGTTGTTTTAGAGGTCATATAGTTAAAATCCTGAAAATTAGTACTTGTTTTGGAAGTGTTCCTTAACTGGATCTAAATACACTCAAAATCCAGGTCGTTATACTTCTAAATTTTTAGTAGGTCCAGTGAACGTCATTTTAATGGTTTCTCTATTGGGTAAACTAAAGGTTTCTTTACTGGGTACATTCAATGGACACCACTTTCTCTTATTTCAGAGATACTTACAAAAGAAAAAACACAAACCTAGGTAAGCCTGGAAAAGATGTTAGAACAAATTTTTTCAGTCGCTTTAAGTACAGCCAAGAAAACCTTGTTAAAGTAGTTCAGGCAGTACAGCTTAAAACACACAAGCTTAATAATGCAGCGAGATAATTTGGGATACCAAAAGGTTCTCTAAGAAAAATAGATTGCTTACTCCTATTGCCCGAAAAATGGGTCCACCAATTGTGCTTAGCGCCGAAATTGAAAAGAAAATTGCAGACTGGATAATATCAAAAGCTATAAGGTTGGATTTCCCATTCATCCAGAAAGTGTTTTTGACTCTTCAAAAGATATTGGTGGATTCTAATGCCGAAACCCCATTTAACGAAAGCAGACCGGGTAAAAAATGGTTTCGGCTTTTCATGCAACGGCACCCTCATATCGTTAAAAGAAATGCCGAAATAATTTCAAAGGCTAGGGCATCTATTACAGAGAAAGCCTTAAGAAATTGGTTTTCTGAGGTTCAACAATTTTGTGTCAATGAAAACTGTGAAGACGTTCTACTGGAACCTACCAGGATATACAATGCTGATGAAATGGGGGTTCAGCTTTGTCCAAAATCTGGGAAACTGTTAGGTCCTAAATCTTACAGGAACTTTTATGAAATATCTTTGGGACCTGAAAAGCAATCAATCACAGTTTTATGCAATTATTCAGCATCAGCTCAAGTAGTTCTACCAATGATAGTGCTGCCATGTAAAAGAATTCCTAGAGGTATTGCAGACTATCTTTCCCGGACGACTATTTTAGTAGACGTTCCCACTCTGGCTGGATGACGTCCGATGTCTTTTTTGAGTATATTGCAAATTGCTTTTATCCATGGATTTTAGAGAAAAATGTTAAATTTCCAATAATTTTATTTATTGATGGACATAAGTCTCATCTAAATTTGGTTCTATCCAATTTTTGTTCTGAGAAGCAAATTATTTTGTACTGCCTATATCCAAATGCCACCCACATTTTACAACCATGTGATGTAGCAATATTTAAACCAGTGAAAACCGAGTGGAGAAAAGTTGTTAGAAAATATAAACAAGAAACCGGAAAATACATCACAAAACTGAAGTTGGCTCCACTTTTTAAAGCAGCACATGATCAATTATCTACAGAAACCATCAAAAATGGATTCAAACGTTGTGGCCTATTTCCGTTTGATCCAAGCGCCGTGGAATACGAAAAATGCATTTCTGTTAGACAAGAACTTAATAAACAAAAAGGTGAAGCCATAGATCGCGACGATATTCAAGCAGCTTTAAAAGTTCTTAACATATACCTAACAGACGATCAAAAGAAAAGAATAATTTCAAAAGTTTCAAATCTTCAAATCAGTTGTATGAGGATAGTCTTTATAAATTTTGGAATTTTTGTAATGATCATGCCCAGGAAAGAATAGATAGAAGCGAAAGTTTTAATAACTTGGTTTCTACAGAAGATGATCTAGATTTAATGCCAATGAAATTCGATGATATTACTATTTCCAATGAAGTAGTATTGTTGGATGACGGATCTGGTTGTTCATTTTGGGCAAGTGACGATACGACAATAGCAACAACAGAAAGCACTGAAACTGTGGGAATGACAAATTATTTAAACATTTTGACAGACAAAAGTATGAGTGAACCGAAAGACAATATCAATGCAAAAATCGATTCAGAACATGTAATTTTGAATAGCTCTTTCGACAGAAACCACTCAGATGACCGTTGTGAGAATAATGATATTGATAGCAAAGGAACTGATGAATCAGTATTAAATCAAAATGATATCAAAATCAAAGACGATAGGTTAATGGAACATAACGAAGGCAGACATTCGCAGGAAGCCTTTAGAGCAGAGGATGTGTGTCAAATCAGAACCAAAGAAATATCTGAGATAAGTCATAATGTGATATTAAATAATAGCGATAAACTTGTAAAGACTGAAGAAAATGCTAAAGATAACAATTCCGTTGTGACGCAAAAGACTGATGAATCACTCAACATTAAAGTTGACAACAAATTAGATAGTGGCATAAAAGAAAACTCGAAAGAAAATATTGAAGTAAAGAATCCAAAAATTAATATCTTAACTGATATTTGCATAAATCCTTTTTTATGGGACAAACACTTGACAATGAACGATTACAATAAAACAGCAACCGACGCACAGAAAATTAAAAAAACATATATGCCATATGCAGTAACAAGCAAAAAATTTAAAGAATATTGTAAGCAAAAAGAAGAGACTAAGAAACATAATGCCCTGGAAGTGGAAAATCGAAAACTACAAAGAACTTTAAACAAACTTAAATAGCGAATACGAAAATATTTTTAAAGGCCGCCAATATTTTAACGGATAAAGGAATTGTTACAGAATAGTAAGTCAGTGATTGGTAAAAGAGATAAAAAATATTTGGACGGTGATGAATTACCTCTAGCAAACCCGCAAGATAAATATAACGTTGGTGATTATGTCATTGTATGTCATGAAAAAAAGCAGTATCCAGGCGTAATTAAAAAGTATGACAACCGAAGTGAGTTCGAGGTGACTGTTATGGAGAGGCGACTCGACAGACTATGGAAATGACCGATAATACCAGATCAGATTTGGTACCCTGAAAAAGATATCGTGAAGAAAATAGAAAAACCTATACCAGTCAATTCTCGAAAGCTTTTTTTAAAAGTGCCAGAACTTCAATAAGGACATGTTTTTAATAAAAAAAGTTTTTAAACATACCTACCAATTTTTTATAACTATTTAGAATAAGTTTTATTTTACATTTTTAGTTTTATATTTTGACTTTTCAGGCGAACAATTATTTATGTTGTTTTACTCATTATTTGTACAATAAAATGCCTTAAATAGTTCACAAAAGTGTTTCCTTATTGGAATTTTAAAATTTCTTTACTAGATTTCCTGTTTCTTTACTGGGCTTTTTGGTATTTTTTGAATATAAAACTTGTTTAAAAATCAATACGTTGTCCTATTTGTTTTACAACTAATTATATTAAAACTAAGTACATCAGGCTAGATCATGTAATAAAAAAAAAATATTTTTATTTAAATGCTATAAATAATTACAGTAAAAATAATAAATCCCTTAACTGTTTCTTCATTGGTGCTTTCACCCTAGCTATTTCCATTTCCTTGTTTTACAAGTTACAAGTAGAACTTTCTTATCAAACATAAACTTTTTTGTGGGTCATTTAATATTATTCTGTTCTTTACTCGGTCTTATAACTGAAACTCAAAATTGACAAATGAAAAATAAAATTATACCTATTAACTTTATTTCATTATTATTTACAGAAAAATGTTCATATTTTCCATAATTTTAACAACGATAAAATCTTATAACAAACCGTATGCAATCAGAGTGATAAATGTGATAAATACCAACCATTTTTTTTTTAAATCGTTGCTGAAACAATTATCATACAAGAGAGAATGAATATTTAAAAATTACTGACGAGTGATCCCATTAATAAATGTTTTCCAATTTTCCCCATTAATTTATCATACTGGCTAACCGACCACCGGCGGTGCTTGCATTTGTTGAAAAGAAAACCGTCTTCCGGCGGCATGGTCTTCTCACATAAAAGAAAGCCGCCGAAAATCTGATTTTTTGATCAGGGCGGCATGCTATCACTGAATTGAAAAATGCCGCCGGACGACGGTCTATTGTATTTAAAACATTGAATGCCGGTGGTAAAAAAAATACTTGTAAAATCGTCTACATTTTTGTGGCAAATGATCATATGTCGTACGCGTCTTATTTGTACATCGGTCTCCTTTTGACAGAGTAGATGAGCTGTGTCCAGGCCGTTGGTGTTTATACCGGTCGGCGTAGCCAAGTATGGATTGAAATTTTATCAGAAAGATGCTAGTGGTAGACGTTCCCACGACGCGCGACGCCCCAGTGGTCCACCTGTAACGTTAAAATAGGACCCGCTGTCCTGTACAGCAGTGCTCCGCAACCTTTCCTCATCTGAGGCACACCAAACTGCTCCCTAGAATTTCGTGGCACACCAAAATCTAAAATATATTTATAGCAGTGGCGTAGCTAGGTCGGGGGTCAGTTCACTCCATGTATACTAATTATTTATGGATGTCCAAACTACCTTAGTTTTTTTTATTGTTTTAAAATGTGAAGAAGCCCCTTTCAGATTTGGGGCATCAAAATTTTCACTCAGGACATAATACATATTTTTTTTTTATTTTTTTTTATTTTTTTTTATTATTCAGATAGAATGAAAAATACAAATAGGTACATACATGAGAACTATACTAAATACTAGGTAGGACAGGTAGGTATACTAAATTTACTTCTGTTGACACGTCAATAGTAATAAATATTTTGACATGATGATGACTGATTAATGTGATACCTGCGCTTGCTTCGTTGAACACAAAAGTTTTATATTCGGCTCAATTTTAGAGCGCAACTCTCATTTCTTGGTCAAGATCTTTTAAGCATGACCGTTTATCATTTTTAATTAATACAAGCGTTGAAAAACTTTGCTCACATAAATATGTTGTGGAAAACGGAAGTAGTGTGAAGATGGCCTTGTCGGTGATGCGTGGATATTCTGTCTTGATGGAAATCCAGAAAACATCTAACGGAACTTCGTCGAATTTAAGTTTTAGGGTCATATCATTACTTAATTCTGTGAACTCCTCTCGAGTTTGCAATGGCAGTGCTTCCGTGGAACTTATTGCATTGGTTGCGAAAGGATTTCGAATCCAATTGTATTGTTCCGTGTTGATAGAATGGAAATAGTATTCAAATTTTTGTTGAAGCATACTTAAATGTTGTTGGGCCAAATCCACAATCAACTGCTTGTTTTCGATCGTACTGTGGTTGGTCCTGTGATACATTTCTAGACATCCTTTTTGCAACTGTTCCTGCCAAAGTTCAAGTTTCTTTTTGAACCCTTGTAATTTATCGGAGCACGTCAATATATTTTCATTCCGTCCTTGCATTTTTTTATTAAGTTCATTCAGATGTTCGAATATATCCGCCATGTATGCAAGTTTGGCTATCCAGTATTCATCATGAAGGTGCTGGCATAGATCGTACATATCTTGACTTGAAAGAAACTCACGCACTTCGTAGCGAAGTTCAAACAGTCGAGCTAAAACTTTTCCCCGGGATAACCAACGAACTTCTGTATAAAACAGTAAGGATTCATGTTCGCTTCCCATTTCTTCACAGAGTATTCCAAAGATTCGCGAATTTAAGGCTCTCGATTTAATTATGTTTATGATCTTAATACATTCATTCATTGTGATCGAAAGCTGTTCGGGCAAATTTTTGACCATCAATGCTTCTCGATGTATGCAGCAATGTGTAATTTGTATTGACGGATTTTTTTGTTTTACACAAGATACAAAACCTTTCTTACTGCCCATCATTGCAGCAGCACCATCTGTACAAATAGCAACGCAATTGGTCCACTGAATATTATGTATTTTAAAAAAATTATCAGTTACTTGGAAAATTTGTTCACCGGTAGTTCTCTCTGGAACCTCCTTACAAAATAAATAATGTTCTTTAATAGAGTCCTCGTCAACGAAACGTACAATAGCCATCAGTTGTGCTTTATTTTTAATATCGGTTGATTCGTCGATTTGAAGCGCAAAAATTCCAGCCGAAATGATTTTTTTAATTAGTGTTCCCAAAATATCACTTGACATATCTTGGATACGTCTTTTAACAGTATCGGCCGACAAAGAAACTTTACTCACGTCCTTAACTTCGTTTGGCCCAAGCATAAGTCTAACAATTTCCATGCATGCTGGTTTAATAAGCGTTTCACCGATAGTGTGCGGTTTTTTTTGTTGTGCAATTAATTTTGCAACAAGGTAGCTTGCTTCTAATGCCTTTTCAGAAACCGTAACCGCCGATTTCATAAACTGCTTTTGTTTCTTATTTTGATCCAAGCGCCGTTGGAAAAATTGAATGTCTTTTTTGACGCAACTGGGATGATTTGTGATCAAATGACGGTTTAGTTTGCTGGGTACCATTGCTTCATTTGACAACTGTTCACCGCAAATGACGCATTCAGGCTTTGGAGCCGCTTCGTCTCCACACCAAGTGAAACCATATCGAAGGTAGTCTTGATTGTACTTCCTTTTCAGCACCTTTTTTGCTCTTTTTGCAGCACTTATGCTGGAGCTTGTGCTAGGTTCTTCGTCATCTGCTCGTGATTTCAGCAAAAATTTATCCATATTTGAAGCACTATAGTTATTTATAAAAGTAGATACTGCAACAAAACTTAGTCCAGTTCACTTATTTATAAGGCACAAGAATTTATTTATATAGCAATTCACTATTTATTTCACTCTACGATTTATTTGTTTGCCCGCGTATTTATCTGATTCACTTGACTATTCGACTCTCTCTGAGTCTCTGAGCGACGACAGGCGCGCTTATATAGGCAGTGGCGATGTTCAGGAAAACATCGAGTCGCGCCTCGAACGGCACGGATCTTTCTAGTTTAGTCGCCTTCGAGAATCAAGCCGCCGCGCCGCGCCGATAGACGGATAGACGTTTACCATCGGCGCTGTTGTCAGATTGCTTTATTTTTCGCGGGTCTCGCTACAATACGAATCTGATTCGTATTGTCTGCAAGAGCGGCACACCTCAAGTCGGCTTACGGCACACCAGTGTGCCGCGGCACACCGGTTGCGGAGCACTGGGCCCTATATAATAGAAAAATTTCGTAATTTTGTAACAAAAAAAAAATGGTGACATCACTTTATATTTGGGAATTATTGTCATATATTTGGGTTTAAAGTACGTTTCAAGAAAGCAGGTTACACCTCGCTGCTGTAATTTTTTGAACAGATGACATTTTGATGTTTGACCCTCTTGAAAGAAATCAAATTTTTTTTCATTTATAAGTGCAAAACATATTTTTTTATTCATAATAAAGTTGTTAAACACATTATTTGACTTTTTTTAGTCTAATTTTAAACATTTTTGATACAAATAGAAAAATATTAAAATACTCATAAATTAGAGAAATTACTTAAAATGTTAACCTTCATTTTCATTAACGGGTCCTACTAAATCAAGAGTTTCAAATATTCAATAAACTAAAAGGGAATCGAGAAGGTTAGGACAAGATAATCTTATCCCATATATCATCATTTTATAATTATTTAAGATAATGTACCTTTGGTAATCACAAATCTCTACCATAACTGTTACTAGTATTGTCATAAGTAGTTTGGACCATATAAAGAATTATTAAACAAGAGGGTAAAAAGTATCAAAATGTAAACTATTCAAAAAATGTTTCCTATCAGTGGATAAACAAAGCAAAAAGGCACCAATAAATCTGAAAAAAGTACAAAATCTTTTTTAAGTGTATACCTACTTGAAAATTCTCATATCTAGCCTTGGTAAATTAAATTTATTGTTATCATTAAGTAATCTAGTTTTTAAAAAAATCTTTTTTTATTTAATCGACAATCTTGTTAATTACCTCAATTGCCTTGAATTTATTTTACAGTGGCTACTATTTTGAGTTTTTGCTAGTTTGGATACCAAGTTTTTGAAATAAAAATCTACTGGTTCACGAATTTTCCCAAAAATTAAGTTTATATCACTTTGTGTACAGCGTGGAATTTTCAAAATTTTAATATACAGGGTATGGTTTTGAATCCGGCACCATACAGGATTGAGAATTATGTAGTGAATATGAAAAAAATATACAGTGTGGTTTGTAAGTTATGAATAAAAGAGATGAGCAAAATGGATAAATCACCTTGTAACTTAGTTTTAAAGAATTAAAAGTCATTAGATATAGGTTAATTAGAACAACATCGGTATTCCCTATATCTAACCCTAACG